ATTGTATTTTCTCTCTGCTTCATAGCAGACATTTCACTGATGCAATCTTGGCAGGTTTCTGGATTACAGGCCATTCTTGGCCTCATCCTCAGCCACCATATTCGAAGCCACCAACTGGGGATGCTTTAAATGTATCCAGTCAGTAGCTCCACAGACCCTACACCCAGAAGGTTCCTGTCAATTACAGAGGCCGCAAGGAAGCAAGAAGCAGGTTGCAGACAAAATTAAAAAAAAAAACAAAACAGACTTTTTTTGGCAAATTCAGGAATATTTTAAGTCTCCCTTAAGGGAGGAACAGGGAGCCGAGTCCCAGAACTTAGTACATAAAGCTGCTGGAACTGTACCTATAAAGATCTTATATCTGTCCCACGCTTTTAATTAGCCATGGGTTCCTTTGTGGTTTTGCTCCACAGGAGCAGCAAAATCCACTCCAGATTTTTGTGTCAGTTCATCAGCTTGCTTGCCTTTTGGAGCAGCAGCAGCAGCAGCCCCTGATCTTCACTTATCCCTGCAATTTTATTTTTTGCCTAGATTTCAGCTATACTTCATAAGCATGTTCCCGAATTTTCTTGGGCTCTGCAGAGGCAGATCTCCTTTATACCAAGCAGCCCAGGTTGACACACTTGTTTGCAGGAATTAAGTGTCCTCTCCCCACCTCCCATCCCCCAAGCTCTCAGATGAAAGGGCAGCACAACCAGGAGAGGTTGGCACCAGAACTTGTGTGACAGAACCCCTAGGACTAAGTACTTGGGACCCCCAGGAGGGCCAGCTGGACAAGGATGGTTCCAAAAAATGCTTAGCACTGAGATGAAGTGGAGTGTAACCTTCAGGTACCCAGCTGCCAGTCAGGGGCCATGGCCATGCACCACCAACCCTACCTGCTATAAATACAAACTGGGTTGGGGGAGTATGGGAAGAGAAGGATGAATGTGTGTGCAACCCCCTCTCCCCATCTCTTCACCCATCTCAACTCCCAGCTTCCTTATGCCACTGACCAGTTTGCCTAGGTTGAACAGATGAAGACTGGACACATCTATCACCATGGAGAGCTCAATAGAGAAGGATCCTAAGCTATGCTGTTTTATATACAATGGGGACTGAGGGGACACATCTAGGCTGCCATTTAGCAGGGGCCTCTAGAGCATCTGGTGACTGCCCATGCTAGCTCCAAACTAATTCAGATCTGCTGAGGCAGCTAGTTGCTAAACCATGAAAACAGTGGAGAAAATGAGTCTACAGGGCCATTTGGATCTGCCTCTCCCCAGCCAAACTGCCAGGGAGTGAGTCTCACCTTCTAAAGAGCAGGCATAGCACCCTGTTTCTCTCTGAGTCCTGAGCCCAGATGCTTGCACGGGAATTAACTGGGAACCTCAAAGCCAACGAAGTTACAATGTGATTACCAAGAGGGAGGGTAAAAACACTGCTAAAAACACTTGTCATAGACAAGGTGACACTAGGATTCTAAAGGGAACATGTAAAATATTTACTTTTCAAGCATTGTCCATTTTTACTTCTGAGAAAAGGAAAAACAAATCTTTTTTAAAAAAAATCCACATATGAACTCTTTTTCTGGAACTCTGTGCTTTCTGATGAACCATAAGAATTATGATGGCAAGCAAATAAAATTTTAGTGAAATTCTTCCAAGACCTTCAGAGACCAGCTTCCAAAACTATTAGCAGACTTGGATAAACCATTTCTCCCACCCAGGCCTATAGCGTCTGGGGCCCAGGGGATCTTAATAGCTAAGTCCTGGGCTCTCTTGGTCCTATTTCTTCTCTTTCCAGCTGTTAATGGGGGGTTGGTGGGGAGCAAAAGGAAGCCACAGCCCAGGAAATGGTTCTCCTGGTCCTGCCATCTGCATTGCTCCCTCAAACTCCTCTACCTGCCTCATAGCATGTTGGGGAGAAAACTGGAGGCTGAGTTGAGGCTTCTTCCCCAGAGTGGTGGGGGCTAATGCAGCAGGGGCTGGAAACCAGATGGTATTTTCCAAAGCGGGAAGTGGCAAAGCATAGCAGAAACTCTTCAGACCAGCTACATGGGCTTGGCGCCTGTGGCTCAAGTGGCTAAGGCGCCAGCCACATACACCTCAGGTGGCAGGTTCGAATCCAACCTGGGCCCGCCAAACAACAATGACAGCTGCAACCAAAAAAACGCCCAGCGTTGTGGCGGGCGCCTGTGGTCCCAGCTACTTGGGAGGCAGAGGCAGGAGACTCACTTGAGCCCAGGAGTTGGAGGTTGCTGTGAGCTGTGATGCCATGGCACTCTACCCAGGCGGAAAGCTTGAGGCTCTGCCTCAAAAAAAAAAAAAAAAAAAGACCAGCTACATGGAAGAAGCGAGACTTCCACCTGAGTGCCCCTTCTGGCATTCTAGGGGAAAATTTTACCATTTAAATGTTAAACCATTAAACAAGTACTTAGGGGTGCACTGTTTCCCCTTCTTTGCATCAGCTTCCAAGGCACTATGAGATTGAGTTTTTATTTAGGATTTTGGTATTTTATCATGAAATATTTTTTTGGCATTAATACTTATTTTTAAACATGTTACATTAAAATGTTATTTCTTTTGATGACTAAGTTTTCTGGCATCCTCTTAAATTTTGTGCTGCAGGCAATTGGTTCTCTCACCTCATCTCAGTCCTGGCCTGACAGTAGGGTAACTTTATACTTTTTGGTCTTCAGCATTAGGTCATAGCTGAACCAAGCCAAAGTATAATAGGATAGCAGAAGCAAATGCAGTTTATCTGAAACTCCTATCAGCTTTTGGATTTAAAACAAGTGACCCAACTAAGGGAAAAATAGAGGCGAACATCAGGACCAAATGACTTTATAAGCACTTATTGTTCCCTTGTAAACAGAAATAATTGTTTTGTCTTCATTCATCTATTCAACTTGACTTTATTTATTTTATTTTTTTATTGAGACAGAGCCTCAAGCTGTCACCCTGGGTAGAGTGATGTGACATCACAGCTCACAGCAACCTCCAACTCCTGGGCTCAAGTGAGTCTCCTTCCTCTGCCTCCCAAGTAGCTGGGACTACAGGCGCCTGCCACAACGCCTGGCTATTTTTTGGTTGCAGCCGTCATTGTTGTTTGGTGGGCCCAGGCTGGATTCGAACCCATGACCTCAGGTGTATGTGACTGGTGCCTTAGCTGCTTGAGCCACAGGCACAGAGCGTCAACTTGGCTTTAAATGTTCTACTTGTTGAATACCATATTAGGGCCTTGAGTAACAAGGATGAGTAAGACTGAGATTTTCCTCTCTCTCCATGAGAGAGAGAACATTTCTCGGAATCTAATTCAATAAATACTATAAGTATGTATATAAACAATTTGGAGGTACAGAGATATAGGCAGAGGCTTTTTTTGTTTTGTTTTGTTGAGTAGGTTGTAGGAATTATGCTTTTGTTTAAAACCATAAATAGAATGAATTAATGGCACAATGAATGGAGGAAATGGACTTTTGGCTGGGGGAGGAAGGAAGAACATCATTTCCACTCTTACAAATAGTTGGAAGAAACTTTCTCCAGGATGTGGAAAAGTTTGGAAAACTTACTGATTGATGCATGTATAAGCTTGGGAAATTAACATTTATTGTTTATCTAACCAGGCGCTTGACACAGTTACTTCCATCCTTTATCTACCATAAAAGGGTTTCTAGAGATGAGGAATAGGTTCATAGCATTTAAGCATAGTTAACTAGTCCAACATCTAAGTACCAGTACAATATTATAAGTAACAGGTGTGTGAAGTCCAGGTCTGTCTGGACACCCCCCAAAACCCATCATACCCTACTGCCTCTGGAAAAGCAATGGAAAAGAAGAAATCAGACAAGTGATGTATTCCTTAGCTCATGATCTATTATACTTAATTCTCCCACTCCCATTTTAATACCATCTTGGAAAATCTGAAGAGTGGCCATCTTTGAGCGTCCATCAATTACCCGCTCTGGGAGTCTCAGTTCATCCATTCACACTTAGAATAACTCATTCTCTGGAATCGAAACCTTGGCCAAAATAAATTTTAAAACTTGAAAAAAATCTGGCTCAGCGCCTGTGGCTCAAGTGGCTAAGGCGGCCGCCACATACACCTCAGGTGGCAGGTTCGAATTCAGCCCGGCCTGCCAAACGACAATGAAGGCTGCAACCAAAAAATAGCCAGGCGTTGTGGTGGGCGCCTGTGGTCCCAGCTACTTGGGAGGC